CCTTGAACCATGAAAGCAATAATAATGGCTAGTATAATGTATTAATATATATTTTTAATCTCACATAATCTGGCAACCCTGAATCTGAGCTCAATGAAAATCGTTTCCTGCACCTAACTGTTCTAGGGCTTTTGAATGAGCTATAATTCATTGAAATCGGACCAGTGGAGTGGAGGAGTTGCTTGGACACACACACACATTGTACTTTACATATAAAGATATAGGTAAACTATCATATAATAACATTCTTAAATGTGTAAGTAAGTTACTAATTCTTTTCTTTCAGGGGCAATAAGAAACAATCATTTAATAATAATAGTCATATAATCAGTAAATTGTTGATAGTGCTAAAAAGATCAATAACTATGACTTCACAAATTCAAGATTTACCAATAGGAATATTTCATTGGAAATGGGTTTATGTTCTAACTGGAGTGAAAATTTTGTTCGTTTTTTAAAAGAATACATTTTAACTAAATAAGTTTTGTGCTACTAAAAATGCAAACAGATATTTAGCCTGAATGATTTTCAATTTCAAGCTTATATGCTAAAAATGAAAAGATCTTGCAAAACAACTTATGTATCATAAGTTAATATTTAACCCTTTAGCATTCAACACACACTCAAACCCACTCTGTAAATATTGGTTCTCAAAGTCTCACTGTTTGTGTGACATCCTGCATTATTTGTGATGTTGACGCCATGGCAGAACATACATGGGACGGGTCATAGTGGGTTGAATATTGGGAGCAGATATTTTTTTAAGTTAATTGAATGTTAAAGGGTTAAAGCTATGTTGACTTAATGTACTAAATTTTTAGTATTCTAATACCGATTAGGGGGAAAAAACTGCTACTTCAATTTTTTTTTTTTTTTACTTGTGAGGCTTTAAAAACTTTATAGCCAATAAACAAAGATTTATACAAAATCTATCTATCTATCTATATATATATATATAGATATAGATAGAGAGAGAGAGAGATGCCTGCATATTGCATTCATTTAATTGCTGGTATACAGTAAATCTGAGCAAAAGACTGGATGGTGTGTATGCAGGTGTTTGAGTAGCCAAAAAGTTAACCAGTTTATTATGATAACTATTTTTTTTAACCTCTTTTGCACTGAGAAAGTTGAGTAAGTGTCATATATGTTCTAAGATATTTGGAATCACTGAAAAAAAAAAAAAAAAAAAAATATAGGAAAGAGTTGAAATAGGCTTTTTTTTCTTAACATATCAACTTTATTGATGAATAAATTCTAGATTCCATCCTTCCCTTTTTTCTAAGAGGAAAAAAATGTTCTAGGTGCAAATGTTTTAATGAATCTTATGTTGACTATTCTCAAAGTCTTGATGTGATTGCTGTCAGCATCAATTAGTTCACTTGATTGTAGAGCATCATTCAATGAAATCTATAAAACCTTGCAAACTGTTATTGCCAAGTTTGATCAGATATAGTACCTTGATAAACTTCATAATCTTGTTTTAGAATTACACTGTTTATGCTAAAGCATATGTTGCTCATGACTTCCATCTTTAATGTCAGAATAAATATACAAAAATATGTAACTTTTTGATAGAAATTTTTAAATATTGTATCTTTTTTTTTTTTTTTAACAAAATTGAAATTGAATGTTCTTGATGCCATCCAACAAAAGAAACAATTTTTTTAAGCTACCTGAAAATATTTGTCTATATCTCCGAGATGAGGTATTATGATTACTTGCATTTTTTGAACTGTTATCTTAATCTTCATTGCCATATTCACAATATTTCAGCTGTTGTATGCTCTGGCCTACTTCAGGTGATTGGAATTTCAATCACCTGAAGAAAGCCAGAATTCAAAGTTTATCTTATAACTTTATACAGCAAAAATAATCTGAAAGCATGTAGAAAAGAAACTGGAAAGAGTCTCAATGATTATTTTAAATATCAAACCTCTTTGAGTAAATACAATTATTGCTTTTCAACTCCTCTGCAGAAGAAAAATTCAGACATCAAACTTCTCAGTCATAATTCAAAGAAATAAGGAGCCTAAATGAAGTGTGGCGAGGCAATTCTGAGAGAACTGGAAGTCCTACCATCATTGGTGGCCACAATCTTAACATAAGATACACAGATGACACAGTACTGGTAGCAGACATGGAAAAGAAATTACAAAACCTCCTACAGAAGGTAGCGAAGAAGAGCGAGAAGAAAACTACAAGACAAAATGCACGGTCATCAGTAAAAGGATGAGCCTAAAATGTGATTTACAGATCGGGGACACTAAAATTAAGCAGATGTGGAAATTTAAATATCTAGGAAGTGTTTTGAGAGAGGACGGTAAGTACAAGAGAGATCCAAAGATATTTTGGGATGGCCAAAGATGCATTCCAAAAACTAGGCAGAGTATTACAAGACAGGATTTCTTTGGTAACAAAGAAAAATGTACTGAGCTGCTACATGACATCTGTCCTCCTTTACGGCAGTGAATGCTGAATGGTCACCTCAAAGATGAAGTGATTCGAGGTGGCACAGGTATGGTTCTACAGAAGATGCTAAGGATATCATGGAGCAATGATGATATGATTGCATATGAGCAATGATGAGGTTTTATAGAGGATGCAAACAAGCTCATACTTAACATCAGGAAGATGCAGCTGAAATTTCTGGGACATGTTTTAATGAGAAAGGAGGTCTTGCAGAATCTGATACTCACAAGTTGAATAGAGAGACAAGGGAAAGCAACACATGACATACCTAGAGGGCTTAAACAAGTGAATGACAAATGGGGGAAGTAGCAAAAAAACATTGAGAGCTACAAGACATAAGGGGGGGGCAGAGTGTTGAGCCATGATCACCTATGTCTTGAAGGGACATAGCACATAAAAAAAAAGAAAGATCCTTCACTCCCATTCATTCACTTCAATAAAAGATAATATAGGACAATTTATAAAATTACAAACCAAATTATTCAGGGCTAAAACTACAACACTTACAAGATAAAAATTTATGCCATTTGTTTAATCTTCATTATTTACAGAAATTCATTATTATTTTGATCTTTTGTTGGAATGTGCCCTTAAATAATTTACCAACAATGTGGTTATCCATCATAAAACAGATCAGTATTTTCAGTCTTTTTAAATGTGTACATAATTAATTTAGTCTGACAAAGAGTTGTTTATAATATTTTTGGGATTGAAAAGAAATGCAAACAAATGAGTCATTGTAAATGTAAAATACTTTTAATTTGTATAAATTATTCCATTTCAACAAATGCCACATAGAATTTTTCTATGCATGTGTTTATATGCGAGTAAGGATTTACAGACATTTATATAAGTGCAATCATGTATGTATGTATGTATATATTTACAAGGTTTAATAAAATGATTAATTTGGAATTCAATAAATGCAGCATTACATTTTATAAACTAATTTTGTTTTGTTTAAATGATTCCCAAGTATTTGAACTCATGTACTCTAAAATTTAATTCATTGCTATTTTTCTTACAATCACAGATATGAGAAATATTACTTTATAAAATGGGTAATAATTTTGTGTTCCTATATCAGATTTTATTCAAAATCTATCTTTTAGTTACCATGGAATAACAAGCTGAAAATTACCTTTTTCAATCATTAGAAACTTATCAATTTCTCAGAAAGTGAAAAGGTTGTCATGAAAATTATTTTAATAATAATAATAAACATACAAAGCTTCAAGCAATTAAATATTCTTTATCACTAACAGAGATCATGAGCAGAAATTTCAAATAAAATTCATATTATTAAATTAGATAAAGAACCTTATTGAGGTTTAATTCCACATAAATATATACTTTTTGTTCAATAAAAGAATTTCAAATACAAAAATAATCAAGCTATAGCACCTTCCGGAAAACAGAATTTATATAGCCAACCAAATTATGATTGGATTACCAGACAATGTAACTAGTTGACATAAAAGTAGATCTAAAATAATGAACATTATATCTTTATATATAAAGTAAATATTTTTTTTTGATTAAAGTTAAGGAATTTCTCTTGTCATATAATTTTAAAATTTTTTGTAAATGAATTATTTCATCCCAAGCAAGGTGATAAAGTCACTAAAGTACAAAGTGTTCCTGAAAGAATCTAAGAAAAAGATTTAAGTATTTCTTTAGAACAAAAAACATCCTTTGGAGAGATACAAGTTAAATATTTCAATTAACTTTCATTTAGAATCTTGCTTTGTATTACAGTATTTTTTATTTTTTAGAAAATTTGTTTAGCATTTTTATTTTCAAGAATTCTATAAATATATTCAGAGCAACAATATTAAGTAAAAATACAAATAATAAACAGTTACTAAATAAAATCCACCACCAAATCTGGAATACTTATTTTAGTTGTGATAAGTTAGAAAATTAATTTCTAGCACTTTCCAATTAAAATAAAATTTTTTACATAAATCATGAAAGCTGAAATGAACCCATCAAACATGAATACTAGTTAATTTTGTAATATTAAGATGTCTGCAAATTATACAGTACCAAGTGATCTTTCTTGTTTCACCATGTACTATGAACTAAATTAGAAACCTGCATTTCAATGGGTGATGAAAACAGTGTGGATTGTAGTGCTCATAGCTTTGACAAGTATTAATTTAGCAGTTTCAATATCAAATAAGGAAATATATTTAAAAGATAGAGATAAAAAAGAAAAAGAAGAAAGAGCAATTAACTGAAGGTCACTAAGTCTAAGGTTCAATTTCAAAATTGGAAAGGTGATATCTTGATTCTGAAGTAGATTTGAAAATGAATCTAAATCCAAACTGACTGCAATGACAGATCACTTGCAAACTTGCCAGAAAAGCTGCTGAGAGACGAAAAGCAAAATGCAGCACAATGTTGATCACAATAGAAACATTTCTAAAATACAATTTAACTTTCATAAATATACTTTTAAGAAAGTTAAATATTTACTTAAATTTTTTTTTTTTTTTTTTTTTTTTTACTTCATAAGAATTTACCTGGCAAAAAATAAAACGCCAAACACCATGTGGAAAAGAAAATCACCAATAATATGTAGCTGTCCTCAAAAAATGTCCAGGTATAGAGAAATCTAAAAGAGAAGAAGAAAAAGGAAAGCAAAGTTAATATTAAAGAAAACATAGCAATATATTCAGCAATTAACTTAATCAGTTCTCCAAGTCTAAAATCAATTCTTTTCAGTTTCATACATGAAGTTTTATTTTCTTTTGAAACATTAATTACATTATTTTGTAGTGGAAGTTGTAGTTATGAACCAGTGGAAATTCTGTGTGCAGGCAACTCACATTATCCATCATTTAATGCCTCTGTTCTTCTCTTACTTTTTGACAGCAGATTCTCATTCTTTCCCTTATTTTTTTTTTTCTGCTTCAGGTTTGCATCTAAATTAAATCCAAACAGATGAGTTTTATATGCAAATATTTTCTACTGTATTCACTCATGTTTCTTTTGGTCTGTCTTTCCATAAAGAACTTTATTGTATTGCAATTTTAACATTGCCTTTCAAACTTTCTTGTATATTGTCTCTTTATATCTAAACAGCAAGACTACTTGCTTGGCTCCATTTCTTTCCTTTATATGTACAGCCCTCACCAAAACTTTCACCATTTTTTTTTTTTATTTCTAGTTTTCTAACCTACCTTTCCTTCTTCACACTCTTTCTCTATCCTCCTTTTCCTCTATCCCCCCTAAAAAAAAATTCCTACCCATTATATAGGTTTCTCAGTCAGAAAGCCTAACTGATTTCAGCTCAAAAAGACCAAAGATTAACCAGTTACTTCAATCTGATCTTCATAAGTGTTGTGCACACAAAGCAAAACATCTGTATGCTATCTATATTATTTAAGAGTTTTTGAGATAATGACACTAGTAAATATTGTTTAAACATTTAAATATGAAAAATATATGGTTAAAATTTGCAATAGGATGTAAAGTTGTATTTTTTAAGGTTTCCTCACATTAATATTTGAGGTCATTGTGAAAGAAACAAAAAATTAACTGGTGTTAAAAAATGCAAGTAGAGCTAAAAACAGATTCTAGTTAGGATCATGTTCTTTTCATTTATTTCCCCATCAATATAGATTTAAGAAATGATGGGCAGGTTACTAGCTCTAGGACCAGTTTCATCTTACAAAGATCAGGATTCCGATATGAAAATGCAAATGATTTTTATTTTTTTTAGAGAAACAACATTGTTATTCATTCACTAGCTTCAGTATTTTTAAGATTGACAATTTGAATAAAAGAGTCAAACTGGAAATAAAAAAATATAAACTAGCACAACAAAATTTATAACTTGAAAGATTTTTCATCTGAAAATGAAATATAGCTTGAGAATGAGTAAATTACAGAAGGTATATTATTATAGCCTTTAAAACAGACGTTTAAAAAAGTGCAAAAAGAAAAAGCTTTTTACTGTTACTCTAGTTAAAAAAAAAGAAAAAAAAAAAAGATCTTTTCAGAGCTTAATTGAAAACAAAAATGAATGTGTATATTGACTAATATGGGGGAAGATTAAGACAGAATATACGTGTGTGTGTGTGTGTGTGTGTGTGTGTGTATGTACACATATCACAAGCAAATTACATTCAAGTCTAAAATCCACTCCTTATGTTTACAGAGGTAGGATTGTAAAAGCTTAATGGGGATTGTCTCCAATATTTTAAAAGCACAAAAAGTGCCAGATTCATAATTGAAAACATGACTTCATGATGAGACATGGCACACTGGTGGTTATTAAAAATATTTTCAGCTATCACAAATACAAATGTATTAATGCACCTATGCAAATTTTCCATTTACACTTTCCAAACAGTAGCCAGCACATGTTGATTTATTTTCATTCTCTGACTAGTTCTAACTAGTCAGCATCACACTGACATTTAAACCAATAAATAATTGAATATCATGAGTAGGCAGAATATACTTATGGAGTGATCTTAACATCAATTGAACAGAGAAGACAACACCTCAGATTAGTCAACAACTTTTTACATTAGCAGAGATTTGTTTAACAAATCTCATGCTAACATCACCAATCCATTGCAATCACAAATATACAGGATATTTGTTAGGAGCTATGAATTTAGTTGAATGAAACTGTCATTTTAGCACAAATGCTATATTGTACAATATCAAGAGGGTAGCCATTATCACACAAGAATTTCTTAATAAATTCAATTTCAGAATCTATTTTGTACAGACCCTACCACAGAAAGAACAGGTCATATAGGAACATTGTCCTTATGGGTTTTTGGCAAACTATAAAACAAATATTGATAATTTACATATGTACGTTAATACATCTGGGTTCTTTGATAGCTGAATATCTATTAAATAATTGACAGTGTGCTGTATCCTAAAGACATGTTTGTTTCCAGTCTGTTACATTTGAACATTCACTTGAAAGTATTGGAGACAATACACATTAAGTCATCACAGTGCGTCTCTACACAGGAACAACTTTTAGGTCTGAATATAATTTGTGATGTGTGAGAGTGTCTACGCATATCTTGTCTTTATTAATCTTTTATTTTAGGACATTCTTTAGTTTTTGATGAAACTCTGAACAATGAGAAACGAAAAAACCAGTCACCCCTCCCCAATTTAACATTTGCAAAAAAAAAAAAAAAAAAAAAAAAAAAAAAAATTATTTTAATAGCAGATTTTATTTTAAACCAAGAATAAATCTACTTTCTGTAGCCATCTAAGTTATGACTTATGTAAGTGACAGATAATCAGCAGTGACAGAAATGGGGAAAGGGTTCCAGAATGGTAATATTAGCTATTTCTCTACAATGAAACATTTGACATTCATTGATGGAGCAGCCAGTACTGCTTTTGGTTGAAATTTATAAAATTTTTCTCTTCAAACAATTTTTCAGGTAAATAGATTTTCAAGTCCAGTATCTGTTATTGCTCTTTCCAGTATTGATGGAGTTTTCCTTCCTATCCTTTTACTTCAAACAGTATGGAATATCAACATCTTGATTATGTCATTATCTCCATTTTAGTTGTTGCTGCTGTTGGTAGTCATTAAGTGATGTGGACTTATGTGGTATAGTCCTTTGTGAATCTGCATCACTAGACCACAATGTTCAAAGATGGATGATCATTGCCAAGAACCAAGCTTCATTTGTTCAAAGCTTTTTTTTTTTTTAACTATGGTTGTATATGGCTGACAATTTAGATATTTCGAAACAGATTTGGTGCCATGCAGGACATTCATATGAATGTCTCAATCTGTCAAGGCTATTTAAGAGCATGGCTCAAATGTCGAGGCTTTGGTTTTGTAGCAAATGTAGTGTTTGAGAAAGAGTAGCTATTGGTCTGTAGATCATTAAGTCACTTTGAATGAGCTTAGTGATAACATTGGCAACAACACATAGTAATAACACATTCACAAAGCATTTGTTATATTTATCTTTGACAATAGCGGAACTGCACTTAATTTTTTCTTAGCAAAGAAATTATCAGTTTTCCAATAGTTTCTATCAAATACTCTAGCTATAAAGCCTATCTTAGTGTACATGTAAGCAGAGTTTATATCATCAAAGTCAAGCATAGAAAACAGTGCATGAAGTGATGTAATAAAGGTTAATGTGATTAGAAAAGATATGAATAGCAATCTAGGCCAAAATGATAGAGAGGAAAAAGTTCAATAATTTTGCTAAAGAAAAAAAGTATAGAAAAGAAGCAATCTAGATTCTTTCAAATTTACATAAAAAAAAAAAAAAAAAAAAAAAAAAGTTTGACAAACAACTTATTCCTTATATAAGCCCCATTTTTTTTAAAAGTAAAACTTATAATTTCTCACAACACTAGTATTTGCACCTTCTTTTCCGTCCAAAGAAGAATCAAAGATCAGTTGCTGCCCGTCTAATTGGGAACAGTACTTGTTTGAAACAATTGGTTGGTTCCATGAAAAGAGCTTCTATTTCCATATACACAGCACCACCTTAATAGTTATTTGTATCACTTGCCAAATCCCCACTTCTCTTCCACCTTGTTATGAAGTACCCACTTTCATATCAGCTGTAATTTTTTTCAAAGATATGATATTTAAACATGTACAAATAAGGTTTTTTTTTTTTTAATGAGCACAGTAAATAGTATAAACACATTTTTGTAGTCATAATGGGTAATATGAAATTCTCAAATGCTGCTATTGAAATTAATCAACTAAATGAAAAACATTAAGATTTTTCAATTAGAGAAATCAACGTGGTGTTTCATATCAACAGAATGTAGTAAAACAGATGAGAAAACAATTTTAGACTTAAATTTAAAAAAAATAAAAAAATTCCAATGATAATTACTGGTTAAACTCCTTTTGTCTATTAGGAGCCTTGAAGCATCATTCTTTTTTGAAGAATATATATTCAATTGTAACAAGCGATTATCATGGAAATCAAACTATTTGATTTATATCACTTAACTGCATTCTTATCAAGTCATTTATGTTTACTGCACTTATAAATACTTCAGTATTGCATTAGATTTATTGAAAAGAATAAGAATCTCAAAGCTCCAAAACTTTATTCAAGGTGCACATTGTGTGTGTGTGTGTATATATATATATATATATATATATATACACACACACACACATATGCAAATATCCATCTATACACTGCATGCATATGTTAGTACCTAATTATGTATAATTCTTATAAGAATTTTTTGAATTAACAATGAATTGCTGGCCATGGACAGCATGTAAATAATATGACCAAGATATTTTTAGCTTGTAACTACAACAATAAAAGACTAATAATTTTCTTTATAAGATTATTACTATCACCAAAATTCAGTTATTCCACTCCCCCACACCAATGTTCAATGAAGTCAAAATTAGTTGAGAAACATTACGATGATTTTTTTTCTGGCACAAGCTGGACTGATAAGAAAGCAATGCAAACTATTTCAATAAATAAATTGGCACAAATAGAAAAAGAATTTTAATCTTAGTAACACAGTTGGCATAAATTCATGTCTCAAGAATAGATATAGATTAAACTTGACTAATATTAACTTTGAAGTGTGATATTTTTAAAGGACTAAATTAAAAAT